TTTTTTTAATACAACCAATCGATTAGTTGAAAAAAAAAATCATGCAACTAATCGATTATGAAAATAATCGTTAGCTGCAGCCCTAGAAAACTTAGTGCTTCTTATAGATTTCTATACACTAATGTAAACCAGTACTTTGTCCATTTAGGCAAATGCAACAGGCTCACTTTAGGGCAGGGATGGTAAGGGCCACACCACCAGTGGCCTGTTGACCCACAGGAGTAAAACATAGTATAGGGAGGCCAGCATGACCTTGTGATCAGAGTCTAAGGGGCCAATTGCCAAGCCACGGATGTCATATGGTAGGGGAGGGTTCCAAGTGTTGGGTTGTAACAGCGATTTTGTGCAGCAAGCAAACTGGTAGATGAGGGCGTGCATTGAAGGCAAGTATGTCCTCCTTAGCGTCCCTGCTCTAAAGCAAACCAATTACTTTGTCTCACTCCAGACAAAACTTTTTTTTTCTTCTAGTTTTTCTTGATAGGCTTGGGAACAGTAAAACATTTTAGTCAAGTTTTTTTTTTCTTCTGTCCATGACCTCATTGGGGAGATTTTAACTCACTTCCTGTCCTTGCCCAAAGGAACTAGAAGACAGGCCATATGATTATCCTGGTAAAGGTTCTAACCATTCCCATTTAATTTCATAAATAATACAACCTTTCAGGAAAAAGGAAAGCACAGTAGCAGGAAGAAGAAAAAAAGTGTACCAGAAACCCAAGGACTTACCATCCTGTCTTCAAAGGTTTTCACCAGGATACCATCGGGGAGGGATGTGGCAAGTAGAGCCATCTCCTTACGCACAGTGCTAAAGAACTTCTTAGCTTCAGGGGCCTGGAACTCCAGTTTTGCAAAACTATGCCCCTCTGGGGAAAGCAGAGATATAAATCAGACACTGAGGTTTTCAAATCACTGCAACATTAGAGCTTTCATTTCACAGACACTAGGTTCAATATCAGAACATTCCAGACAAACATAAAGTCAGCAAGTAAAGTGACTTAGGCTATCATGTCTATCCCAATGAGACACTAGAAGAACTGCAGCAATGAATGTAGATTCAAGATTATAGTTGTAATTTACCAGGATTTTCACTCTGAACAACAGCCCAAGCTCCAGGTCAGAGTACAGCTGCTGAGGATACACCACAAACTATATTAAAGCACCCTTTTATTCCCAAATCCACATATACCCCTGATGGAGTCGGTATGTCTTGGCTCCTGAAATTCATCGGCATTTGTACATTTTTAAAATTGGGGGGGGGAAAAAAGATTTATTTTTTATCTTGTTCTTTTGAACTTGCTATTTAAAATTTTTAAAACTCCCAAGACAAAAAAATATTGAAAAGAAATATATATATTTTGGGGTAATAAACCCCCCCCCCCCCCCCC